TCTCAAAACATTTGCTTTCTACTTGAGCCCTTGGAATCAGCTCATTCTCCCCTCCCTCCCCGCCACCCCTCTCTCCCAAACCCTTGATAATTTATAAATTCTTCTTCTTCTTCCATGTCTTACTGTCTGATTTCTCCCTTCACCCACTTTTCTGTTGTCCATCCCCCAGGGAGGGGGTTATATGTAGATCCTTGTAATTGGTTCCCCCTTTCTACCCGACCTTCCCTCCACTCTTCTGGTCTCGACACTACCAGCTTCTTTAGTCTGAAACTGACCAAACATGTCATCAAGATGCATTAATAATTACTTGTGATTAAAATGCAAAAGTTAGAAACACAGAGGAAGGATTAGTAATTGGAAAATGGAGACAGAAAGGAAACAGGAGATTTGCAAAACCAATGACTTCTTCATTGCAAATACTTTTTCCCAATAACATAGTGACTATACATGCGGATCTTGCCAAGTGGATTATGTAGGAATCAAATTGACTACATTTATAGGAACAGACAATGGAGAAGTTCAATTATCATCGGCCAAAATAAGACCAGGGGCTGACTGTGGAACAGATGATCTATTGTTCATATGCAAGATCAGGTGGAAGTTGAAGAAAATTAAAACAAGTTCACAAGAGCCACAATAGGACCCTGAGGATGATCCACGTGGATTTAGAGACTACCTTAAGACAGATTTGATGCATTGAACACTAATGATGGAAGACCAGCTGAGCTATGGGATGACATCCGTCAAGGACATCATACATGAAAAAAAGAAAAAGGTCATTAAAAAGGAAAAGAAAACCAAAGTGGATGTCAGAAGAGACTTTGAAATGTTTCGTTCTGTTATATGAAGGGTTGCTGTGTAGAAGAACAACAACAAGAATGGTTGTCCAGCAGGGTAAACATAATCAGTGAGGCTGAATTATACATATAAAATCTATTGAATTGGCAAGTGTTTTATTTACTTTTTTAACTGCAATAAAATAAACAAACAGAAAGGCAGGGGAGGAATTAGGAGAGTTAACACTATTACACCAAGAATGTTTCAGTAAAAAGAAAATGGATGGTATGGAATGTTATAAGAGCCCCCAATAAAATGATTTTTTTTTTAAAAAGAAAATGGCTGACCATGAGAACCAAAAGTCCCTGATAATTAGGCTGAAGGACACCACTGTGGAACCTGGTGATGCAGTGTCCAATAGCAGTGGGGCACACCAGTGAGTGGAGGGATGACTGGGAGGTGGAGAGCAGAAAGCCACTTCTAAGAATTTGACTGAAGGGAGGGAACTGAAAGTGAGCAGGGTTAGAAGGGCAGGAACCAGTGTGAGCCTGGGCTCAGTGAGGCCTCCCACCTACATGGGCTTCCTCTCTCCCTTACCACTCCCAGCTGGGTTAGATAAGTTGAGCATCTTTCCAACCTCCCCATTCTATGATTCTCTTCCTCTAGTGATGTTTTCTAAGCCCCTACAAAGTGACAGAGATGAAACAATTGTCTGTGACTTCCCAGAGGGAAAGAATTGACTATATTTGTATCTTTGTGATCCTCAATGTCTGTTGTTACGTACCAGCAAGCCAGGTCCCACTCACAGTGACTCGCAGCAAACCTGAACGAGTAGAACTGCTTCCTAAGGTTTCCCAGGCTCTAGTCTTCACAACCGATCTAGCCTGTAAGTATAAACTCAATGCATGATGGAACAATGAGTGATGGAACAGGTGCAAAACTTTAAAAAAACGGTCATGCCCACCCCTTCTCTAACCTTACCTCCTATAATATACTCCAAGCTCCATGACCGCTCGAGAGCACTTATGACCCTGCAGGGAGCATTTTCATGCTGCTGTTCTTAGTCCAGAATGATCCTCTTCCCAACCCTTCTCCTTGTCAACTTCATTCAGGGCCAAACCATATGACACCTCACCTTTGTCCCCCAAGTAGAATTAATCTCTCAGTCATCCCTGGACAGGGCATTCTACCCGATATTCACTGATATGCTGGTTAGCACAGTTTCTAGTGGTTTATTTTGACTGGCTCCCTGACTGCCTAAGGGGCAGGGGTGGATCCATTCTTCTCTGTGGCCCAGTGCTCAGCACCTGCCTGGCACAGACTGTATGCTCACAGGGTTTTCAGACAAACATACAATCTCAAGAAAGGGAACACCACCCCACCACCCTGCCACCCAGGCACTCATACTTTCTGTTTAACGATTCCTTCTTTTTCCTTCCGCCTCCTAGAAAGCATTTGAGTCAACATATGAACATGAGTCTATTAAGCTAACACGTGGGGCCTCAAAGAGGACAAATCTCAGGGAGGGGAGGGGAAACCGGAGTCAGAGTTGGGAGGTGGACACATTTTCATGTGTGTAGGTCCCTCAGGGTGTGGGGGTTATAATCTTGTGAACACAAGTAGTGTGGGGGTCCCAGCTGATGGTAGAGTCATTTCTATCCACTGGAAAGGGCAAACATTAGATCAGCAGTAAAAATCTGGGTTTTAGCTTAACTCTTATGACCTTAGACAGTCTTTCTTCATCTGTTTATTTTTACAGTCGTCTATCAGAAAATATGAATTCATGGGTTTTGAATGGCTTAGATCTTTCTAGACCTCTTATTCCTCCAGTCAGCATAGGCAAGTACCTATGATGTGTGAAAGCCTAGTGACTGCTTACATATTGGGCTGCTAACCCACAAGGTCAACAGTTCGAAACTACTAGCTGCTCCTTGGGAGAAAGAGGAGGCTTTCTACTCCCAGAGCTAGTCTCAGAAACCCACAATGGCAGCTGTAGCCTATCCTGCAGGTTACATGAGGCAGACTTGACTTGACGGCAGTGATCTGAGGGCATGATGTGAAGAAGTGACCGGAATGTTTCATCTAACAAGCAAACCTTCTCGTATCTTAGCTCTGTCCACTGCTATTCATCTTGACTTCCAGCCTGGCCTCCCACCCATCCCCCAGGCACTAAAACTCTGTTTAGTCATTCATTCCTCTTCCCAGGAAGAATTTCAGCCAACTGATAAGCAGGTTCCTACCAAGCTAACACATGTGTCATCTCAAAATAGACAAATCTCAGGGAAGGGAGGGGGCAACTGAGTCCTGTGTGGGGAGCATGTGCAGTTTTTCGTGTGTGGGTCCCCCAGGGTGTTGGGCTATCACCATGTGAGTACTCTTTCCACCACAGTCACACCACAGTGTCTGCTGACGACAGGTGCATCCCGGCAGAGTGCAGGAAAGTCCCGAAAGGGGAATATGAGTATGAATGCTGAGCTGTAAGCTGTGGGAAGACTTGAAGTCAGTAAAATGAGTCCTAGACGGAACAGAACACTAACCTTCCAGTGGAGTGTCTGGGTGGGTAAGTGGCTGGTAAAGCAAAAATTGGGAGTTGGGAGCTCACCCAGAGCACTGTGGAAGAAAGATGTGGTGGTCTACTTTAAAGAAATCAGCCACTGAAAGCCCTCTGCGCCGAAGGACAAAGAACTATGCAAGACGCAAACAGCAGCACTTGTCTCAAGACAAAGCTCAGCCGGCAGGAGTGGAAAGGAAAGAAGGACCGCAGGCACCCCTAAGAAGTGGGAAGAGAGCAGGTACGTCGAGGGCGTCGTCGCAATGACTGTTAGGAAACAAAATGTCTACAACTTGTTGAGGGGAAACTAATGGGCTCTATAAGTGCTCACTAGTACCACAACTGTTTACAAAGGAAAGAGAACGGATGCGAGCACAATTCGACTCTGACACTTGGGAGGTCGACAGGAGCCAGGATGAATGCTACAGCAACTGGTAACCTCCCAGTGGAGCCACAGAGGCTGAAGGAGAAAAATAAAGACATTTGTGTGGGAGGCAGGGCAGGTGCTAGGGAGGACATAGGAATTAGGAGATGCTAACTCTAGCTTTTAAAAGAGACTGAGGAGGGCCCTGTGAAGAGGGAGAACAAGAGACTTGGAGAAAGCACATGGAACATAATTAGCCGGCTGAGCTTATCAAGCCTTTCATGCTGTCAGGTGGGGAGCCCCAGGGAGCCTAGGGATGCTCAGCCCCATGGGTACTGTGAACCCTGGTGGCCCTGCAGATTTGGAGGTCAAGGTGCAAGGTACTTCTAGAAGGTACCATGGCCAGGTAAAAGAATCAGCACTCTTCCCTGACCGGCGTGCCCTCCTTCCTGGGCGTGTTGTGTGCCACTAGTGGAGATGGTATACAACAGAGCAGAACTGCCCTCTGTAGCTCCCTAGGCTAGGCCTGGTCTCTCAAGGAACCACTGGTGGGTTTGAACACCAAGCGGTTGACCATGGCACAGCCAGGGCTCATGCCTGGGCTGGGAGGGGCTAAGGGCGTGAGCTGGCATTGAAGGCAGTGCTGCTTCCTCCACCAACTGACTCCTACACTGGGACCTACTGCTACTCACCTGTTGCCATGTATAAGGTATTCGATGTGGAGATAGTTTTCTTGTAAAAATATCCATAAAGTACAGCAGTTACTTGTACAATCATGCCAGTCTCACTAACACTGTTTTCCAATGAACTTTCTCCAGGGGAAGAAAACAAGAGGAGCTAAAGTCAGGGTGTCAGAAATCACAAATGATAGGTACCCTACCTGCTGTCATCAAAACTTTTGTCAGCTAAGGGTTTGGGGTTACTGCATACCGATGGGAAGGGGGCGCTGCACACCAACAGAGTGCTATGTGAGTCACGCAGGAAAGGGACTGAGCCCCTCTGTACCCAGGCATCTCCAGCTGCATGCTAGAGGGTCTCCTTTGACAGTAAACCCTTGTACACACAATCTCCTTGACAGAAGGTAGCAGGAGGAGGGGCAGGATGACCTAGGTCAGCATTTTATCGCCTTACATCCTCTGGGAGTGGACTTGCTCGGTCACACTTAGGAGAGGGTATGGACTTTCAGAGACTGGCAGTGCCAGCAGAGAGGCCTCCCAGTCTCATGGAGACAGTGCAGGTGGTGCCTCCTGCCCTTAGTAAGCCCAGCCCGGAGAGAGAGAGATTCCGCCCTCTCCAGCTGCCACCTACCAGCAGGATGAGCAGGATGCTGGGGCTGTTCCTGAGGATGAGGAACAAGGATGCCAAGCTGTCAGGAAGGGTGGGCTGCTCAGCAGAAGGGATGAAGTCCAGTTCTTCACAGCTGATCTCTTCCCAGGAGAACCAAAGTTCCAGGACTTGGTGCCCAAACCTACTCATTAGCTCCGGATACAGCAGGAAGAGTCTGACCAAGGGGGTGTGGTGGGTGTAGACCAGGTGCAGGTCCGGGAGGCCCTCTAGGAATTTTCTGATGGCACTGACTGTAGCCTGGAGGCAACAGAGAGAAAGGTACCCTCAAAACACTTCCAGGACACTGAGAAAGGCAGACTGGCATCCCAGCACTTCAGGGCCCCTCAGTGGCCAGGAGAGGGCACTCCAGGGAGAAGAAAAGCCCACCATGCCTACCTTGTACCAGTGCTCCTCAGTCCTCCAGGGGACATTTGACAGTCTAGAGACTAGGGAAGTGTTACTGGCAAATAGTGGGGAAGAGGCCAAGGGTGTTGCTAAATAGCCTACAACTTGCAGGACAGCCCCACAGGGTACGACGACTGTAAACCTTCATGGAAGCAGACTGACACATCTTTCTCCCACAGAGCCACTGCCTGGATTTAAACTGTTCACCATTTTTGGTTAGCAGGCAAGTGCTTTAACCCCGATGCCACCAGGGATCCTCAGAAGAACGCAGGGACGTGGAATTCTAGGTGCCATGTAAAGACAGTGTTTCAAAGGAAAGAGATGCCATTAACAGGTCACATTACATGATGACTAAATATTGACTATTGATGTTAGTCACAGGTTGGCAACTAGCAACTTTAAGGAAAAGACATTTCCAGAGGTGTGGCAAGGATGCAAGATTTACTAGGATAGCTTCAAGGGAGAACCAAAAAGCCAGAAATGAATCGAAAAGGAAGACAATGGATTTGATCTGGTTTTTTAACATCGGTACTGTATATATCAGCACCCTTTCCCCTTCTCGAACGCCACTGCCTTCTGTTCATGTGTCACCTGGTCTCCTGAGTATGTTGAAGTACAGGTGTGCTGGAGGAGGGGTCTGTACCTCATCAAGCATGTCGTCCTTATCCTGGCTGATTGCAAGCAGATAGATGGAGGCTTTGAAGACCACCGGTGGGGGGTGCTCTCCCTGGTCCTGAAGCGACAAGAGGAAGCTCTGCACAGCCACAAACAGCTCTGCCTCAGAAACAAACCTGTTGGCCAAAGAGAGCCTGAGTGAGAGTGGCATATGCCAGGCCAGTGTCCTGATTGTCACATCTCCCCACAGCCCATCGTCCAAGCATGTCCACAACCTAAGGGCTCCTTGCACAAACAGTGTGCTGTTACCCACAAAACAGTGTCTCCATACATACCATATAGTTCTAAGCTTTGTACAAGGCTCTGTCAAGGCCAGAGTCTGCTCATTCACGTTGGAAGAAGAGCGGTCACCCTCCTTTTTTTGGCCATGAGATCAATTATCCAAAAATGTAACACTGAAAAATTGATAACATGAATGCAGCACAGCATCCTGGATAATGTCCTCAAACAGAAACAAGACTACAGAGGTCAGCCTGATGACATCGGAACAAAGTTTAGTCGATAGTCAGGTACCAGTGCTGGTTTCTTGGGGTTGGGGCAATAGTCTGCCTCTATGACGCCCATTCAGGCTGCCCCAGTAAAAGCATTGGGGTCAGAACAGTCTCTGAGGAGGGGCACCACATGGCCAACCCCACTTTCAAATCTATTCCCAGAGCGAAGGGAACAGGATCTCTTGTACTCCAGCTCAAGAGGGAACAGAGCACATTCACCCTGCATCAGCCACATGCAGAAACCAGGTCGTGGGCACCAGTGAAGATGACCTTGCTCCATCTCTTCTCTGTGAGAGCAGAGTTTCCTGGCATTCGTAGGGCATATGTGTGGCCTTTGCCTTGTTTACCTTCAAGCCTGGCACCATCAGTTTTCTTTACCACTTTTGCTTGTGCACCCATTTGTCTTCAGCAACCGTATCAGGAAGGTGAGCACACAATGATATGATTTTTGTTCTTTGATGCCTGATAACTGATCCCTTCGGCACCTCATGATCACACAGGCTGTTGTGCTTCTTCCATGTGGGCTTTGTTGCTTCTGAGCTAGATGGCCACTTGTTTACCTTCAAGCCTTTATGACTCCAGATGCTATATCTTTTGATAGCCGGGCACCCTCAGCTTTCTTCACCACATTTGCTTATGCATCCATTTGTCTTCAGCGATTGTGTAGGGAAGGTGAGCATCATGGAATGCCAGGTTAATAGAACAAAGTGTTCTTGCATTGAGGGAGTTCTTGAGTGGAGGCCCAATGTCCATCTGCTACCTTAATACTAAACCTACAAATATATGCAGAGATCTATTTCCCCATCCTCATATATAAACACATTTACATATGTGCATGCCTGTATTTAGACCTCTATAAATGCCCTTTGCCTCCTAGCTCTTTCCTCTATTTCCTCTTACTTTCCTGAGGCTATTCTCTTGATGCAAGCGACTGCCATAGCTTTCTCCTACTGAGAGGCTGGTGGACTCAAACCACTGACCTTTCATTTAGCAGCTGTGTGCTTAATCACCACACCACCAGGCTTCTGTACATATTGTGTTAGAGCTTTTAGAACTGAAGTAAATCATAGAAGCTTTTTCTGTACCCAAACATTACCTTTAAGGATATCAAAGAGCTCTCACTAGTATTCTGGGCTTCTGTCTCTCAACACTAGGTCTCCCTACCATCTCATCTCCTGACACCCAAGCTATGAGCCCCTTAGGGATATGATGCATTTGTCACATATGTATGTCCCCAGTGTCCCATACCATACTTGGAGAAGATGCCTCTGTGAATATTTATTAAACTGAATGGGCTGTAGGCACAGGCCCAGCAGCAAACATGGCCAGCCGCCACCCTTGAGCACTTACCTGTCCTCATGGACGTAGGCCAGGTAGAAGAGGAGCAAGATGCAGTACTGTCTCTCACGCGCAGCTCTCTCCATGTACTGGCGGTCGGATAGGAAGGCCAGGCTTTCTGGGCTCCTGCTGCTTATCCGGGGCAGCCCAAGCTGTAACAGCTCAGACACATCAGAGAATTCTGTAGAGGGAACAATGAGGGAGAGCCACACTGAGCAAGTGAGGAGTAGGGAGTACCTAGTATGGTGGGTATCTCATAGAGCGGGAGTGACTGTAAGCAGGACAGAAGGAAATGGGAGCCTTCTTTCTTTACGCAGTTTCAGCCCATCAGCTAACATGTGGAAGGACGTGGAATTGCCTCAGAAAATATTCCATTTATTCATGTAACAACCTTTTACTGAGGCTGCTCTAGGCCAGGAGCTGGTGGCAGGTAGAGACGACACACAATTGCCATACGTACATGTGAGGCAGACACGTGCCTCACTGCACTTGAGTTGCCTGGGGTGGGGAGGGTAAGCCTGATAGAGGCAACTGTGGGAAGTGAGGCAGAAACAGGCAGAGAAGGGAGGGGAGAGAATCTGAGGGTCCACAGGACAAGATGCTCAGAAGCCCAGAGGCAGGGTGTCTGGATCACCCGTAAAGAGATGTGTAGTGTCTGGAGTTAAGGAATGCTGTGATGTCATTTTTAGCTAGACGGTGAAAGACCTAGAATGCTGTTGAAAGAATCAGAATTTTATACTGAAAAGCAGAGTCTTAGCTTTTTAATGAAACCTCTGTTTTATAAAAAACAAAGTCATCCCTATTGCTGTTGAGTAAATCCTGACTCATAGTGAACTATAGGAAAGAATAGGATTGCCCCAGGGGGTTTCTAAGACTAAATCTTTACAGAAGCACTGTCATATCTTTCTCCTGTAGTGACGGTGGGTTTGAGCCACTGACCTCTCAACAGGGAAGGGCTTGAACTATGGTGCCACTGGCACTCCTTTTATACGAGAAAATGTTTCAATATCAAAATCATAAATTTGAATAAATTCAACTTTGTAGAAAACTCACTATATTACCCTTTATTTTCAGTTTTTGAAAGTAAAATTGTGTCATCTGAAAAAGTGAAAAACACAATCAGTATTACCTCAAGCTGAAAGAACTAAAAAAAAAAAATCAACCTTTGAGTTGAAATATTGAAGGATTCTAAGGGAAAAATATTGAATGTAGGAAGCATCAAAAAAAGATGAAAGGCGTACAGGGTCATTTACCAAAAACAATATATTCACATTCAACCATTTCTAGAGGAAGCAAATGATCAAGAACCAATAGTATTGGAGGAAGAATCCAAGCTGCAATGAAGGCCTTAGTAGGAAACAAGGCATCAGAAGTTGATGGATTAAAATGTCTCAACAACCGATGCAACACTGAAAACCCACTGATCTATGTCACAAAATTTGAAAGTCAGCTAACGTAGCCAACTGACTAGAAGATAGCCAGATGTGTGCATATTCCAAAGAAAGGTGACCCAACAGAAGATGAAAATTATTGAGCAATAGTAAGTAAATTTTTGCTGAATGTGATTTCGAAATGGTTGCAGCAGCGCATCAACAGGGAGCTGGCAGAAATTCAAGCCAGATTCAGAAGAGGGCTCAGAACGAGGAATGTCATTGAGGACATTCGATGGGTTGGGGCCGAAAGCAGAGGATATCAGAATGGTGTTTACTTGTATTTTACTGACTATGCAAAAGCATTAGACTGTGGATCATAAAGCAACAACAACAACAACAACAAAAACCTATGCCCAACATTGCAAAGAACTGGAATCCCAGAACACTTAATTGTAGTCATGTGCAACTGGTACATAGACTAAAGGCAATCATTTGAATGGAACAAGAGGATACTATTTGGTTTAAAATCAGGGAAGATGTGAGTCAGGATTGTATCCTGTTGTCATACTTAACCAATCAGTATGCTGAGCAAATAATTCGAAAACTGGACTATACATAGAAGTAAATGACATCAGGATTGTAGGATGGCTCTCATTAACAACTTGCAACATGCAGATGTCACAATCTTGTTTGCTGAAAGTGACCAGGACTCCTGGAAGCACTTGCTGAAAAGGACAGCCTTCAGTATAGATCACACCTGTACTAGAGATTAAATTATGAGCACTTTGTCTACAGGAGGCTACGGATGGCAGTGAAAACCCAAAATCCATTTGTAGAGTCCCACATACATTAAGCTTTATTGAATTCTTTCTGATCATTAACTAATTATGTAAACAATCTAGTCCTCAGGCAGAGTGCACTGGAAAGTGGATTACTTACCTTTACCCCTCTCCAATCACCCCATTGAAGAGAAGTCTCTCTTAGGGGTTTGCCTAGGTTAGTCCAGGTAGACTAGAGAAACAAATTTAGTAGCACTCATATGTGTGTAAGAAAGAGCTTTACAGTGAACCCTAGTTTATCGTGGTTAATCGGTTCTAGACCCTACCGTGATAAATGAAATTCCGCGAAGTAGGATTCCTTATTTGTAAATCAAATATTTTCGTAGTTA